ACAGAGGGCTGGCTCCATTCCAACACTCTGTTGCCAAGCATGCCACGTGATAAAAGGCATTTGTGTAACATAACGGCGACTGATTGCTCCCATGGAATAGTACCGCACCATCTATCACTACCGTTAACAGAAGCAACAAGGAGATTGGTGGGGGAAGGAAAAAGGAAGGAAAATGCTGTTGCTTTTGCTCCCGTGGATAAAGACATTTTGAACCCAGGTTCTTCTGTGAATTCTGTGACCTACATGGAAAATGTTTAATTTCTTGTTTAAAGATTTAACTGATTTTACAAATCTACAAAATTGGAAAACTCTCTAAAACTGCAAAATCAGAAGACAAAATTATCACAGGTTGTACATTACTGCAATATGAACAAAACATTATGATCCAGAGCATGTTGTAAAGTTCATTTGGTCCACCTTGTCTATGTTGGCTCTTTGAAGGAATAACTATTAAGTTCCATTTACCTGCTTTTTTTCCATACCCCTTCTTATTATGGATATATCTATGTGGATCACTCATAAAAGCTTCTATGATCCTCCTGCAACCACTACTCCTGGGAAGGCCTTCCACATTCTAACAATCTTCTGTGTAAAAAAAATCATTGTATTTTGCTGCTTTGGTACCAATCTTAAATTAATACTCTCTAGTCATTGACACTTCACTGACTAGTGGAAAACAATTCTGATCGTCTATTCTATCAAATTCTTTCAGCATTTTAAAGACATCTATCAGGCCTCCCCTCAACCTTTTGTGAATAAATAGGATGTCTAAATATGTACCAATACACCCAGCACTTGACATTTATAGTGCAATGTTTCAGTTTTACTGGCTTGTTATATTTTTAATATCGTAAACATTCTATTTTAATTGGTTAATTACTCATCTAAATTGGCTAAGAACTAATAACCAGGGTATGGTTCGTATTTCAGTCTGCCCCACTGTAGTCGACTTTAAGTCATTAAGGAGCTTAAAAAAGACAAGACCACTCATGCAAATTATCCTTCAGTACAGAATATTTAAAATGTTCCATTTGTATATCTATATTTCCTGTAAAGTTCAAGTAACTGTCAACATGTAATATAGTAACTCAGCACTGCCCACCTTATGTATCTTCAATTAACCAACACAACAAGCCGCCTTACCTTATGGTCTTCACACTGAAAACAGCCCAAACAGCTAACACTATACTGTCGTTTCCACAGGAGAGCTATACACAATGTCATCCAACCTGCAGAATGTAGAATTCCATGAATATTTTACAAAATAAATGGTTTTCTAACTGCCCAATTCTGCTGCATCAGCTGCCTTCAAAAAAATGCACACGGTTCAAAATGTAATACAACACCTAAAATTAGCTAAATATAGCAGAAGACCAGTTATCTGAGTGCACAAGACTATCAATATATCCAGCAACATTACTACTAGAAACAACCATTCACTAATGTAAAAATACTCAGCCTTTCATTTCTAACAAGGCAGCACAAGTAATCTCACCAGCAAGTTTGTGGTGGAAGTAGGTCAGATTTGATAAGACTGGCTGCAAAGCAATCCTGCTTTTCAACTGACACGACTTTGTACTGCCTAACATTGATGTAACGCGACATTATCCTTCTTAACAGCCTACGCAAGAGAAGAGGTACTGTGCAGTTTTCAACCTTGTACGTCGCTGTATTCTGACACATCCCTTTGCTACTGGTAGTGCAAAGTGATCACGACCTAAAGTATTAATGAATAATCCAAAATTGTTAAGGGCCAATTACAGAGATCACAATCTGATTCCATTGTAGGAAAAGAATTCTAATACATATTATTAGCAAATCCTTTTAAGATCAGCAGAGATTACCATCAGCAGTTTTGTTGAATAACTCTTGCACCCAAATCCTTTGCTTGTCTTTGATTGTACAGTACATTAAAAGCTTATATTACAGATAGCATTTCGGTTATTGTCTTCTACTCATTACATAATAATAAGAATCCTTGCATTTGATATAGCGCTTTTCACGTCTTCTCGACGTCTCAAAGTGCTTCACAGAATAGACTGTAAAGTGAATTTGACCGTATATTTGTGGGCGAAATGCAGCAGCCAATTGCGCACAGCAGTGTCCCACAACCAGCCTTTGATTGAAGATGACCAATTTATTATTGTTTTGGAGGGATTATTATTAGGCGTGTGGAGTAAGGAAACTTGCTCAAGGTTTCGCCCTGCCTGGAATTGAACCCAGGTGTCTCGCTTTCAAGGTGAGTGCTCCAATCACTGAGCTACAGGACTCCACAAATTCATTGATACATCTTATCAATGAATTGAAGGTATGTCAACGTTATTACTGTGGAACTCAAATTATTAAATTATTTAAACAAAAGAATGAGGAAAGCGATAAATACAAACACAGTTTTTTCTATGCAGCCACGCAAAGGATTATTGTGTAGTAAGAAGCGTTAACAACTTGGTGGCATCTCTTCAGGATGTGGAGATGAGTAATATCAGTTAAAGAAACTAGTATAATAAAATGACCAATTTTGTTCAACAAACTCCAACCTCCCAAGTTAATGGAGATTGTTAGCAATCCACCAAGTTAAATCACTTAAGACAATCTCCCTTCAATGCTCAAAGCAGCAGTCACTTCCTGTTATACATGCTTCAGATTGGGATTAAACACACAAAAGCACACATCTTCAGAGTTTTGCACATGTACAGTATGCCTACTAGGGTGCTTGATGTTATTAAAGAGCTTCTCACCTGACCAATTCTTTAATAACATTAAATTCTGCTGAAAGATCTTTAGTTAGAGGTCTTCAGTGTTGTACGAGGACAACAGTGATTTGTGCATGTTGCTTTTATACCGAACTGCAAAATATGACTGATCCCCAAACATGCAACATAAAAAAAACAGAAAAAGATCTGAATTCCAGTCAGTCAAATGACTCCGGCTCCAATTAAAAAAAAGCTTTCAAATGAAGCAGCAACAAGACAAAGAGACAAACAGAAAAATATTCAACATGGAAACTAGAACACTGACTTATATTCATCTTCCAAGAGCAGCTTTTTAATAAATATATAAAGTATGGTAACTGAAATGTCAGCATCTTAATAAATACAATAATAACCTTAAAACCTTAGGTATCAGCCTGGCACAGTTGGTAACACTTGCCTCTAAATCAGAATGTTGTGGGTTCATGCCCACAACTCATGCTGGGATTTTAAACTCATAGTCTTGAGCTATGAGCTTAAAATCCCAGCTCATGTGAGTAGTACTGGGGAAGTTGATTGCAGCTGCAATGTCAGAGGTTCTGTCCTTCGGATGAGACTTTAAACGGATGATGATTGTCTGCTTATTCACGTGGATGTTATAATAATCCTTGCATTTGATATAGGGCTTTTCACATCTTCGAGACGACTCAAAGCGCTTCACAGAAGATACTGTAAAGTGAACTGACTGTATATTTGTGGGCGAAATACTGTAGCCGTTTGCGCACAGCAGTGCCCCACAAACAGTCATGGATTGAGTGACTAAATTATTATTGTTTTTTTAGTTTTTTTTCCTGAGGGATTATTATCAGGCATGTGGAGTAAGGAAACTTGCCCAAGGTTTCGCCCTGTCGGGTATCAAACCCAGGTCTCTCGTTTGCAAGGCAAGTGCTCTAACCACTGAGCTACAGATTCCATGTTAAAGACCCTATGGCACTTTTGAAAAAGACTGGGGTAATTTTTCCCAGTCTCCTGGCCTACAATCCCCAGATAAAATTGTTCATTCACTTCAAGGTTGTTTGTGATACACTGCTGTGCGCAATTGCCTGCTGCGTTTGCCTAAGAATAGTCACTGCACTTTTCAGTAAAATCATGTGGAATGCTCAGAGGCACCTCCACGTCATAAGGGTCGACACCAAAAGCAAAATTATATTATTACAGCATTTTCACTTCATGGCTGTTTCTTGAAACATTGCTCTGTGCAAACTGACACTGAATTTACCTACAAATACACAGTTGCAACACTTCCAGAAAAATCCTAAGAGCTTTCAAACTTGACAATGTAATAAGATGCTTCATAACAATAATACTTGCATTTGATAGATTAATTGCAGTGATTATTATTCTTAAAAGTACTAAGTAATGTTTTTGTGTACTGTCAAGCAGCAATTCTCTGTACAAGATTAGCTTTAATGTTCTTTTGTCTATAGAAGTAATTCTTGCTTGTGGTTATTCTCTGCAGCAAAACAAATACAAGAACAACTTAAGAGTCACATGGCAACTTTCACAACAAAAGGACGTCAGAAATTATATCATACAGCTGGCTGGATAGCAGTGAAGGAAAGAGTAGAGCTTTCAAACTTCGATAATGTACCTTGTGGTTTCCCTGATGGAAACCAGATGGTATTAAATAGAACCACAGTAGCCAACGAACTTTCAGTAAGGAACACAAGATCTACAGCAACTGAATTTCTATAAAACTGTACAAAATGTATTAAATACAGAACCCCCCACCCCTGGCTTACCAGGTCATCTGGATTTTGGACTGGGCTCAAAACGAAAAAAATGTAAAAAACAAATTGTTCCGGGCAGCGTGTAGACTCCTACCAGCCACTTTCCGAGCATACTCCCCCTCCTCACCGTGCTCACCTACCTTCCGTGGCTGGAGATATCGACTTTGACTCCGCAGGATTCAATTACAATGCCGGTATTTATCGGCACTGAAAAAAGACAGCACCGAAAAAGTCGGTAAATGCTAGCACACTACCAGCATTGTGATTAATACTTAATCACCAGATCGAATCTATATTAAGTATTGATTCGTCCAACTGCAGTAGAAAGTATGTAAAATTGATTGATGTGAAAGGACATATATCAAATGCGAGGTGTAATATTATAATTTACAGGCCAATTATATTATAATACACCTAGTGCAGTGCAGGTCAATGCTTGCACAGTGGATGGAGGGTATGCTGGAAGTGTGATACACTTAGAAGTGATGCCAGCGGTAACGTGAAGATTGGGAACTCTTACCATGATTGCCACCAATTCCCGGACTGAGTGTTGAATGAATCAATTCTTTGGTTTGAGGATGTAATGCTTCCTTCCCTTGACGCAGGCTCATTTTTCCTGGAGTCACCGGCAGAGATTCAGATTCATCATTATTTACGAACACTGCTGAGAAAAGAGAAAAGGCAATTGTTCAGCAATCAATCCTGTTCATTTCACAGCCTTAGGTACTTCTCTCAATCTAAAAAGGTTTGAATGATGATTTCCCACTTCTAAACACTCAGCTTGCATGTGCCTTGTATCATAGATAACATGTTTCATCTACAAATTCAGTCACTACACCTTATAGTAAAATCACGTGAAGCCTTTGAGACATCTTGACAAATGATCGGGTGCTATATTAAATGCAAGTACTGTTATTATGATACCATTTTGTAATGACTTACATTTCAACACTGAATGTATGTACCATGCAACTAAAACTAGATTATACTAGGACAGGAGTCCCGTAGCTCAGTGGTTAGAACATTTGGCTTGCAAGCGAGAGACCCGGGTTCGATTCCCGGCTGGGCAAAACCTTGAGCAAGTTTCCTTACAAGTTTCCTTACTCCACACGCCTGATAATAATCCCTCAAATTTTATTTAAAAAAATTGGACACTTCAATCCCGACTGTTTGTGAGACACTGCTGTGTACAATTGACTGCCCACAAATATACAGTCAATTCACTTTACAGTATATTCTGTGAAACGCTTTGAGACGTCTAGAAGTGAAAAGCGCTATATCAAATACAAGGATAATTATTATTATTATTCATTCGTCTCACTAGTTTTAAATTGTGAGGTTCGCAATTGTGGAATAAAACCAGTTAGCACCACTGCCCATCTATCATATTCTATAACAATGAAGTTGATGTTTAACACAAGCATATTGGTTATTGCAAGTCAGATCTAGATCATCATCTTTGTGGAAAGACCACGATAGTTTACAACTTGTCACAGCCCAATACATGCTTTATATTTCATTTTCCGGACAGTTGATCACAATATCCCTGTATACACTGAGGTAATAAACTTGACTTTTGAAAGCTCGGTTTGGAATTGTACATTATGTACTGACTTCCAAGCTTTCATGTGCGCAAAAAATTGGATGGACATGTTGCTCTGTTAGAGCTAGGTCAGAAAACTTAATGAAGAATTTCTGGAACTATTTTGAAGAAAATTGGTATTATCACAAATAAAGACCATAAAAATTTACATTGGTGCAATAGAGGGGTGCTCTTTTAATGTTGACTCTAAGGCAGAATTGAGGAGACATTCCACTTGGCTCTAGAGTTTCCTCTATTTATGTAGCATTTTAGGAAGTCCAGAATTTGGTGACTTGTTGAACTGAGTCTTTAAAGTTGGTTTTCTACAGTTCTTTAAACAATTTATGTAAATACAGCTTCCAGGGTTAGGCTGTATTTAAGAATTTGCTAATTTCCTAAAATACTACATAAATAGAATAAATCTAAGCTTGGTGGAATTTCTCCCTCAGTGTGAGAATAAAACAGCAAGAACTTAACTCTCCCATGTTACTCTGCTATATAATGCTCTTTAACCTGATGAGTGTAAAAACTAAAGTTTTTAATGTAATATTCCACATCCATTTAACGCCATAGAATTATAGAAATATGTGACTCAGTAGGAGGCCATTTGATCCATTATCTTCTGTCAGTGTTCACTCTTCCAAGAAGCCATCCATCCTAATCCCAATTGCCTGCTCTTTCCCAATATCTTCAATTACCTTTTTTTCTGCAAGTGCTTGTCCAATTCTTTTTAAAGCCCCAATCAATTGTTCCAACACCCAGCTCTGGCAAATTACTCCAAATCAGACACCCCTTTTGAGAGAAGTTCTTCCATTTCTTTCCTTTTATTCCTCTTGTCACCTTCCTGAATTAATGACCCTTTGTCCTCAAATCATTCACCAGTTGAGAAGTCCTAACCTCTACTTAAAGCAATATCCTTTCATCTCCAGTATCTTTCCCATGAACCTATTCTGCACTTTCTAAATTTCAAATATCCTTTTTATAATGTGGTCCTAAAAACATCACATGATATTCTAAATGCAACCTAATCAATGTCATACAGATTCATCTTCATTTACGATTCTTATGCTGCATTTATACTGAACTTTGGCAACAAATATTATTGATTCATCATCAAAGGTATAGTCTCAGACAGCACAAGATCATGCTGGAGCCTCGTTCCTAATATCACTCGGTTTTAGGAGCCGTGCAATTCAGATTGGCTCTGTGGTAGCACTCTTGCCTCCAAATCAGAAGGTTGTGGGTCCAAATGTAAGTTCAAGTCTAATGCACAGCTGGGGGGGTGTTCCATTGTCAGAGCTGCCATCCTTCGAACGAGACGTTAAATCGAAGTCCCATATGCCTGTTCAGGTGGACGGTAAAGATCCCAGGACCCAATTTGAAAAGAAGAGAGGTTCTCCAGATGTCCGAGGCAAAAAAATCTACATCGCTGTTTGTGGGACATTGTTGTGTGCAATTGGGCTGCCTCATTTGCCCACAAATAGTCACTCCATTTTACAGGAAGTAATTCCTGTGAAGCACTTCCAATGTGATCAAGCACTATACCAAATGCAAAAATTAAATATTATTATTAATAATAATTCACACATACAACTGTATTAAAAGCTACCCCAAAATCTGCAGTTTTTCTGACCCAACTGAAAGAGACGTGAAATAAAAAAAGGTATAAACACAGCATGATGCACATCTTGGAATTGTACAAGTTCTGCACCTTTAAAACAAATATTAACTTTGGCCACATATATGTGGTGCAAAGAAATTAACCAAACAAGAATGATACATACTGTACTCATGGGACATTGTTGTGTGCAAATTGATTACAGCAATTGTCGACAAATCTAAAGTCACTGAACTTCACAGAACATCTTGCCAACATAATAAGTTATTGTCAACAACAACAAAATTACATTTGTATAGTGTCTTTAACATCAGTAGGACGTCCCAAGGGCTGGACAATCAGTGTTTCGGACCTAAGATGGGGGTCGGGATTGGGGAGGTTGACCGAAGGCACGGTCGAAGAGGGTCTTGAGATGGATCTTGAAGGAGGCAAGAGAGTGGAAGAGGTGGAGGGATGGAGTTCCACAGGGTGTGGGTAGTGGCAGAAGGCCCGTCCGCCAATGGTGGGGCGGATGAGGTAAAGCAGGCTGTAGCCCACTGAGCGGAGGGAGCGGGCAGGATGATCGGGTGTTAATACGTCGCAGAGGTAGGTGGGAGCATGGCCATGGAGGGCTTTGAAGGTGAGGACCAGGATCTTGAACTGTATCCTCTTTGTGATGGGAAGCCAGTGGAGTCGGGTGAGGATGGGGGGTGATAGGGTCGCAGAGCCTGGTGCGGGAGAGGTCACAGGCTGTAGAGTTCTGGATGATCTGCAGCCTATGGAGGGAGGAGTTGGAGAGGCCGACAAACAGGGAGTTTGCATAGTCAAGCTTCGATGTTATGAATGCGTGTATGAGGGTCTCGGCAGCCTGCGGTGTGAGACAGTGACAGAGCAGGAGATGGCACGGATGTGGGGTAGGAAAGATATTTAAGGGTCAAACAAGATGCCAGGTTCTGGACTGGCTCAGCGAGGTGGAGTGGGTATCCTTGGATGGTGATGCTGTCAGTGCCTGAGGTGAGGAGGCGCTGACAGGAGCCAATCAGGAGGGCTTCGGTCTTGTTGATGATCAACTGTAGAAAGTTAGCTCCCGTCCAGGACTTGATTCCGGCAGGACAGCAGTTACCCTGGATTGAAGTGTGGAGGCAGAGATATAGAGTTGGGTGTCATCCGCATACATGTGGAAATTGACCCCATGTCAGCAAGAGGGAGCATATAGATATTGAAAAGGAGGGGACCAAGGGCAGAGTCCTGAGGAACTCCACATGAGACGGTGGGAGGCCTGGAGGAGAAGCCTTTTGTGGAGATGAAGTGGAGACGGTGTGAGAGATTGGATTTGAACCATTCAAGGACGAAGCAACGACTTGTTCCAGGACCTTGGAAAGGAAAGTTGGAAATGAGGCAGTAGTTTGAGAGTGGGGATGAGTCCAGGGAGGCTTTTTTTTAAAAGAATAGGAGTGATGACATCTGTTTTTAGAGGGGTGGGAACGGTGTCAGAGGACAGGGAGAGGTTTATGATGTCTATGAGTAGGGGGGCAAGGAGATAGAGCTGGCAGGTAAGGAGAGGTGTAGAGATGGTGTCAAGGGAGCAGCTGGTCGGTTTCATGTAAGTTATGGTGGTGATGAGAGGAGTGGGAGACACGTTCAAAGGTGTGGAGGGAGGGATAGGTGGGGCTAGTGGTTGGAAGGGCAGATGCAGCTGAGTGGATCCTTTTGACTATATTGACGTTATATCGAATACAAAGATGATTATTACAGCACTTAAAGAATACAACCTACCAACTTAAGAATATTTGTGAGACAGTACGATACAAAAGACAATTTTCCTCCAGTTCGGAAAAAAATTTCACATTTTATTTTGATTGAACTTTTATTTTTCAAGTGTTAGCCTAGTTCAGTTGGTTAGACTCTTGCCTGTCTCAGAAGGTTGTGGGTTCAAGCCCTAAGTTGGGTCTTTAAACTCACAGTCTAGAGTTGGTTGACACCTCAATGCCATGTTGGGATGCAATGCATTGTTGGATGTGCAATTGCAAGACTTAAAAACTCAATTTATGCAGAGAAATGGTGTGTTGAACTTGTTTCTGTAAAAAAAATCAAGAGGGATGTAATCCTCTTTCCCCATACTCTGTGATATCCATCCTCTGCATGTCTCCATCCAATTCTCTTTTAAATGCCCCCAACTCAACTCTAATAAACGCTCCTGGCATATCATTGCACATTCCGATAAGTCCTCAAGAAGTTCTTCTAAACCTCTGCTTTTACTACCCAGCTTTAGAGTGTTGTATTTACTGTGCTGGTAAACAAGTTTCAATGTAATGGAAACTAATGCCCTCTGCTGCTTCATCAATAAATTACATGCTTCTCCTTGTTTCTGTAAAGTAGTAGAAAATAAGACAGTATTACAGATCTCTTCACTACACAAAACCAAGTACAAATTAGTTGATAGTTTGATTTTTTCAGGATATTGTGCAATTTATTTTTAAAATAAAAATGCTACCTGAGTGACAGACAAATTTGTTTCATCAACTAAAAAATAGTTTTAATAAACACAATTTCTAAGGAATAAATGGAAATATCAATTTTATTTATAATTCACTTCTCCATATTACTCTTGAATTCTATCTTGTCATATGCCTACTCTGGTTTTAATCTGGGATAGCCTCTTTCATTCCTTCCACTGGCCTTTACTCAGTTTTTCTGTCTTTCAATTCTTCTGGCGAGCGGAGGAACCGGCTGGGTGGTGGATTGGGGAGTGAGGAGGTCGGAGAGGTAGGGAGGTGCCAGAGAGTGAAGGGATTTGAACACGAGTGGTTAAGACTGACTAGATAACTTCCTATGCACACAAAACAACAAGAACCTCCAACAAATTGCATTTAAATATGCCTTTCAAGTCGGGGGAGGTCTCCAGGTGCTGGACAGTTGAGAGTTTGCACTTGAGCTGGAGGTTGGATTGAGGAGCGAGGGCCAAGAAGGGGTGGGGAGTGGGGAGATGACTGAAGGGGCGGTCAAAGAGGATAGTTTCGAGACAGACCTTGACGGAGACGAGGGAAAACCTAAAACACTGAGAAATAATTTTTAAAAAATTAGAAGGGAAAAAGTCTTAGGGTCAGCAAACATTTAAGATTTAGAATGTCCACACGATCAAATTTTACGTTCCCTCCCCACCCGCCCACATATGTTTCACTTCCCAATAAACAGCCTCATGTTGAAGGATTGGTTCTGCAGCTTTACAGTGTCCACACAAGAGGGCACCAGTGAACTTCAAGAACCAAACTGCTACAGCACTGTATTTTGAGCAGTATTGCTTCACTCCCTCTGTTCGCTGTCACAGCCCATATTTAAACCAATCGCTTATCTTGAGATTTGGGCCAATTTTACCCTATTCTTGTAAATACTTTCAGTGTATGAAATATAAAATAGTTAAACAAACCTTGTAAATGCAAGAAATGATTACACTTTGAGTGTGTAAGAAAATAATTACAACAGAAAATTAAAATCACTATACGCATTTCAGTCAATTTGTAAAAACACCATTCATGTTTATACCTGATCCACAACAGGCTCTTCTGGCACTCTGTCTCTGTCCAGGGAATGGTTTCAAGGTCCTTGTTCAGACTTTGAAATCCACCCAAACATGCGCCATGCCCTACATTTGTAATCACCTCGCTACTCCATCTTCAAAACCCTTCTTAAAAAATCTTTGACTCAGCCTCTCTCCCATTAAACCACCTTCGACTTTGTTTGATGCTCCACATCATTCATATGAAGCACTTCCACACATTATTCTATGTGAATGTGCTATATAAGAGCAAGATGTTATTGTTGTAGTTCTAGCCAAAATGAATATAATTAATACAAATTAAGAGAAAATCCCTCTCAGCCTCCCCGGAAAGATCTAGGCTTTAAAACATATCCATATTTACTTCCAGAGTGTAGACAAATTTCAAAATTCACGCGCTGAAAGACATTTCTGTAATCTTTCTGTTGTAAAACTGCTTCTGAGTTCCAGCCTTGTGACAATACATTACCAGCAGCAGCTGACAAAAGGATTTTAACCTTTCCTACTTTCCAACAAAATGTTGAAAGTGTTTGCAAGCAGATTTTAACTGTGATCCAGGAAGTTAAGAAATTATTGACTTCACTTATTGATCATTCATTTTCCTGAAAATAATTTTGTTTAACTATTTCACGTTAAAATAGATTTTACCAATTAGCATATTAACAATCCATCCGTAACAGTTCTGGTAAAGACTTACTACTGTTACTGTAGTTACAATAACTGCTGTTCTACTTGATGTCATAAAAGGGTTTAATGTCAAACAGACTCCAAGAGACATTGTATTGTATTTTTCAGTCTTGCTTCCTGGCAACAATGAATGAATTTTACTAATAACGTTCATAACCCAGTTTATTCACTTTCTCATTCATTCACTAATCTATTTATTAAGCAGTTGGTAAAATGTGTCATACAACTAATTTACGGATTTGAAAAGCTGTACCACATAGTCTGAAAAAAATAACCACTCCAAATCCATTACCACGTATAAATATAAACTAGAACCAAAACTCATAACTCGGCTATACCTTTTCCAGTGCAGGAACAAGACTATAATACAGGAAATTCGAAGGTATGGAATTCAGTGAGTAAAGAACTCGCAATCGTATCCCAGTAAGTTCATATTATTAATCCAGTTAGCATGTCAACCAACAGGCACTAAGCAGACATAGCATGATCAGCACGTACTATACAAATATAGTACAACTTGGTTATATCAATGGTATTTGTGAGCCTGTAAAGTCCCAACCAGCGCTAGAAATCATTGCTCAGCCCCATTACATTGTGATGTCGCTGATCACATGAGTGTCACTGCACATAATAAATAATAATACTTGTATTTGATAGAAGGCCTTATCACGTCATCGAAACATCTCAAAATACTTCACAGGATATACTGTAAAGTGGATTGAGTGTGTATTTTGTGGGCAAAATGCAAAACACAGCAGCCAATTGCGCGCAACAATGTCCCACAAACAGCCATGGATTGGGTCACCATTTTTATTTGGGGGATTTGTTGGCCAAGTCACGGGGAGACACTTCCTTCCTCTTTACAAATAGTCCCAGACCTCGGTCTAACGTCTCATCCGAAGGACAGCACTCTGATAACGTAACACAGCACCAGCATTGCATTGGAATGTCAGTTTAGACCACGTAATTCCAAGTCCCGACGTGGGGCTTAAACCCACAACCTTCTGACTCAGAGGCGTGAGTGCCACCACTGAGCCAGGCTGTACAGAAGCCAGTCGGCTTCCCATGCTAAAATTGACGAATATCAGGGTTATCATGTTGCTGTCAACTTGTGCAGGAAGTTTGTTGGTTACATCCCGATGACCCAGACGTTGTCCCGTTTACTGTGTAGGAAATTCACCGATGGTAAATGACAGGAAGCCGACAGCAGGTCCACAGCACACCCACATTTTAAGCAAAGCGAAGCACGTTATAGCAGAGCAACAGGGCAAGTGCAATTTTCAAATGAAACAATTATTGCAGAAGTAGGTTCAATTATTCATCAGCACTCTGCAGTCAGCAAAACAAATTTGGATAATTACAGTACATTAGCCTGCTCCCAAGGTAGCATTCCTATTTCAGCAGCAAATAGACAACCACAGAACATTTAAAGCACAGGCAGCCATTCAGCTCATCTTCTGTACAACAACTACTTTTGCAACTGCAGCCATCTACTCTAATACAATTTCTCTGTTCTTTCCCTTTCGACTAATTGCCACTTGTGGCATCACATTAAATGTACAACCTTTTGATAATTCAACTGCAGCTGAATTTGTCTTGTGCAAATTTAAAATACCTCCTCTATATAAAACCTTGAATTCCTTTTTCCTTAAAATTGTCTTGCAGTCTCACTTTTAAATAACTATGTACCTTTTTTCCTAAGTCTTTGATTCTCCACTCAAGAATATTCAAAATTAGGCTACATTTTTTTCCTTTTGTTCTTCTCCCAAAAACACATTAATCTACACTCGTCTGTATCTAATTCAATTTGCCTACCCATTTGCTTAGTTAATTATTAGTCTTTTGTCCTCTGCATCGATTTAATTTGTCAGCCTCCAAATTTGAAATCATGAGCAAATTTAGATACCAGAGTTGAAATCAAATATAAAAAATGACAAGCTACAGCAGACAGAAGCCTCTTATGTGGCACCTTAACAAATGCCTTCCATAAATTCATATGTAGAATTTCTGCATTGCCTTTATGCATTTGCTCATTTCCTTAAAAAAAATTTGAACTAACTCATCAAAATGAAGCTCACACCACAACAGAGGAATATATAACCCAAAACTCCTCCCAAATTAGATCTGCAAGTGGTGTTCACTTACTTGGCAATCCTTGTAGGTCCCTGATTTCCCCATGATGCTGTCCACGCTTTGCAATAGATGCATTAGCAGCAACAAAAGTTCATACCAGAGGCAAAGTAACAAGAGGACACAGGTGAGGGAGAAACATAGGAAGAGGAGGGAAAACACAAAACACAATGTATTAGTTATAATTAATCATGCCATATGCAAGGTGTACACAAAGTTAACCAAAAATCATACCCACCTTAACTTAATTACACACAACAAATCTGGGAATAACAAAACCGACAAAGTGACAACTGTACTGCACTAAATACAGATATTTTAAAAACTTAACACACCAAATCGGTTATTACTAGTATCAGTTGAAATAACATGGCACATCTATAACAATAATAATCCTTGCATTTGATATAGCGCTTTTCACGTCTTCAAGTTACTTAATGATGTCTATTTTCCATTCACTGGTAAAATGCAAATTATATTCACTGGAATACATGTTGGGAGAGAGGGAAAAGGAGGAAAGTTGAAGAAAGTGTGAACAGCAATGACTACTGGGTTGAAATGATAATTTATTTTGAACAATGGCACACGAAGCAACACAGAACCTTCTATGAAATGGCCTTTTACTTTGCAAAACATTCTTTCACCAAACCCATGAACACATTCACTAGCCATCCACAAGCAGCTCATCAAATGGTTTTTGAAATCTAAACATGAATCAATTACTATACGTTGATCTTATTGACAATTATGAATCCCATAAAGCTGTTGGGAGTTTTTTTTTCCTTTAGGCCCAATGACTCACTGGTTATGAATATTTCTTACATTACTTGTGACAGTGTGCAGTCTTCTACCCACAGCATATCTTTAGCTTATTCGTTTATGGTTTCCAGGGTGTATCTTCGGTTTAAATTAGAATAAATTGGTTAACTTTGTTATGTTGTTTCCAGTAAGTTACTAAGATTCTGACTATACCACATCCATTTCCTTTGTCACCCTCCACCCCTCCCAATACTTGGCTAAATGTCAGTTAAGCAGAGAAAACGTTCAACAAACTCAAGTTTAATTTGTTACTAAATAAGTATATTATCAGCTATCCTTCAACTTGAGCCTTTGCCCGAAGACCTTGATTATTAGAGGCCATGCCCACTTATATCAACAAAAATCATTTAATTTGATATAGAATCTAAAACATCTCGAAGTACTCGGCAACTTTTTCGTGTAGTAATGGCATTTGCAAGCCAAAACCATTTTGCACACAGCAATTTTCCACAAGCTTCCATGATATGAATCATCAATATATCTGCAAAACTGGTGACACTCTTTTTGGATACCATAATGGGATTAATATCACTTGAAGAGACAGATGGGACCTCAGTTTAACATCTCATTCAAAGTGCCAGCCAGAATATTCCGATGCAGAAGAAAAATCTCACCTACACTAGGGATCAAAATATGGTTAGGTAGTGTGAAATTTAGAACAGTGCACATGTTGAACAAGCTGCCAATTTTGTTTTTCAGTTTTATTGGCATAACCTGTGATGAGATCATTGGTCTGAGTCATGTAGATTTGCCAACTACCTGTTGCTCTTTTAATGTTCACGCTGGAAACTACAAGTAGCTTATAAAAGCTTGACACTAAGTACGAAGCTATGTAATGTTTTACTGAAATAAAAGCAATATTTAAAAGAAAATCTCAATTGATTGTCTTTTCCTCACCTCCAGAACCAAGACCCACACCTTCATCATTTCCAGACCAGATTATTCCAACCTGCTCATCAGACTCCCCAACTTCTTGCAAGACATTGTATACTCTTTAGCAAGTCTCAACTATTCCATACTGAATTCTTAATTTGGTTAAAAAATGCAATATATAATGATAATCCTTGCATTTGATATACAGCCTCATCATTGAGACGTCTCAAAGCACTTCACTGAATATATTGTAAAGTGTATTTGCGCTCAGCCAATTACGCTCAGCAATTGTGGATTGAGTGACCAATTGATTTATTTATTTTGAAGGGATTATTAACCCCAGAAAGCATCTGATAATAAAGTCCACATTAATCCAGCTTTTCTAAAAAAAAGTCTCAATTTCTGTGGGTTTAATTAAATGCCTTCTCAAACTATGGTGCACTGTGGCTTGAAGAATCCCTATTTTAGATCACACTTTAATGCAGTGTTCAGCACATCATTCTTATTTCACACATTCTGCACTTACTGATCGCCAGACTACGGCACTACCTCACCCCTCACGCTGCTGAAACTCTGGTCCACGCCTTTGTCACCTCAAGGCTGGACTATGGGAACTCTCTCCTCGCCGGCCTTCCCGCACCTCCCTCCACACTGCAGGTCATTCAGAACTCTGCAGCTCGTGTACTGTCCCGCACCAGGCTTCGCGATCACATCACTCCCACCCTCGCTCGCCTCCACTGGCTCCCCATCCCCCAGAGGATCGAATTCAAGATCCTCATCCTCACCTACAAGGCCATTCACGGCATTGCTCCCTCCTACCTCTCCGACCTACTATCCCTCTACCTACCTGCCCGTACCCTCCGTTCCTCTGGCTCCGGTCTGCTCCACATCCCCCACCCCAACCGCCCTACCATCGGTGGCCGGGCCTTCAGCCTCTCAGCTCCGAGGCTCTGGAACTCCATCCCCCAGTGCCTTCGCCGCTTCCTCCCTTTCCTCCTTCAAGGCCGGTCTCAAGACCTTTCTCTTCGACCGTGCCTTCAGCTCCCCTCTCGACTCTCTACCCCTTCCTCGCTCCCTCCCTTCCCTCCCCTCACCCTGACCATTTCCCCCCAATGCTCGGGTCCTGACCCAACTGTACAGCGCCTTGGGATGTCCTCCCGATGTGAAAGGCGCTCTATAAATGGAATCTTGTTGTTGTTGTTGTATTTCAACCAGGAGTACCAATGACTGTTTTCTGTGAACCATATTCATTCTCAATACTTATTAATGCACAAGATAGCAAACCATCACTTTGCTTCATATGATCTAATAAGTGAAAACTTTATTCAGGGGCTGAAATATTGCTTAAACCTGGCTCTGCAAACAGGATGCTTTTTGCATTCTCAACCAGACCCCCACCCTCAAATAAACATCATTCAGTTTCATCCTGGAAAATTACGTAAACATCCACTAAGCCATCCGCAAAATTTCCCTGAACACTTTCAGACACGATCAATAGCACAGTAGACTTATGAGAGTTCTTTAGAATCCAACAGAATCTAATCTCTTCATCCCAGTACTCTGTGAATTGCATTGGAAATCTGCCATTGCATTTTAAGTCTTATCTGAACAACAACAGAAAGTCAGATTAAAAAACAATCACCACAAATGCATTAAGCCTTTTATGAGGCAATCGTATTTAATCTCAAAGGCCCAAAATTATCAAAACTTCAGTAGCTATTGCAATAAAATGCAACAGAAATCAATAACTGAAATGAGTGCTACTGTAACTCAATATTAATATATGTATTACCACCAGAGGGCTATCAATATGTATTACCACCAGAGGGCTAAAGGAGAAAAATAGGAACAGAAGCAAACACGTTGTAATACTTAGGTGTGCTTATACACCAAGTGGGACACGGCTGTGCGCAATTGGCTGCCGAGCTTCGCCCACGAGGAAGGAGTGACCCAAGGGACAGTCAAAGAGGAGGGTTTTGAGACGGGTCTTGAAGAAGGCAAAGGAGGGGGTGAGGCGGAGGGACTGCGGGACGGAGTTTCAGAGTTTGGTGGCAGAAGGCCTGCCCACCAATGGTGAGGTGGGCGAGGCGGGGTCGTGAAGCAGGCCTGAGCATGCTGAGCATGTTGGTAGGGGCTTAGAAGGTCACAAAGATAGGGGAGAGCAAGGCCACAGAGAGCTTTGAGGACCAGGATCTTGAACTGTATCCTCTATGTGATGGGAAGCTAGTGGAGTCAGGCAAGGATGGTGGTGATGGGGTCATGCGGCTGGTACTGGAGAGGACACGGATGGCAGAGTTCTGGATGATCTGCAGCCTATGGAGGAAGGAGTTGGGGAGGCCGACAAGCAGGAAGTTTACGTAGTTGAGCCTGGATGTTATGAATACATGTATGAGATTCTCGGCGGCCTGCCGTGTGAGACAGTGGCAGAGCCAGGTGATGTTGCAGAGGTGTGGGAATACTCATGCAGATGTACCAGCATATATTTAAGCATTTAAATGTTAAGTCATTCCAGCTATAAAAAAAATCCTGCTCTCCAATTATACAGAAGGTCATCAAGAGTCCATTTGCATCACAATAAAAATAAAGTGACTGACCACAGCAATGTAAATAAGCAAATATGGTTACTCTGATAGCTTTTGTGGGCAAAGGCACTGTCTGGATTCAGACTAATCTACACAGACCAGAAATTCACAAGTTACTTCCTCGCCTGTAATGAGTCAGCTGATAACACGCAGAACACAAATCGCCTGTAACATTCCTGGAAAAGGAAAACATTCAGCCGTGGTTCTTGCTCCTGATCACCACCCAGTGATAACCTGCTAAGAAATGTTAATGTGTTAATGTCGCAGCGCCTTGGGATGTCCTCCCGATGTGACAGGCGCTCTATAAATGTAATTTTGTTGTCGTTGTTTGTTGTGTGTGCATCAGGTACAAACAAGATCAGGCTCATCTGTGGTGGTTCCATAGGCAGTTTGCTAAATTTCACAGGCTGGTTTACAGAACAGAGGCTCTTGGTGAGATAGAGGAGGGTTGTTTGTGCCTGTAGAACCATACTGAACATAATTTGAAGAGCTATCCAATTCAATCCCACCCCCCCCGCTCTCTCCCCATAACCCTGCAAACTTGTCCTCCCCTAATAAACAGAAGTATTGTTGCTTATAAACAACCAGTGTTCTTAGGTTACATGATTTCTGGTCTCTCCTGCGTTTCATTATTTTAGAACATTGCCTCTGGGTTAAAAAAAAGGAATTGCATCAGGACAGTAATGCTTCACAGATGTACAGTATTTTTTAAAACCTGATGTTTAAGCTCCAATGTAATAACCAAATGTAATAACCTATAAAATAACCAAATTTGCCATCTGGTCTGCTCCATGCCCTCCGGCCTGCTCCATGTCCCCCACCTGGCCCACCATCGGTGGTCAGGCCTTTAGCCTCGCTGCCCGCCCCCTGGAACTCCATCACACATTCCCTTTACCTCCTTCAAGGCACACCTCGAGACCCTCCTCGTTGATTGTGCTTTTGCCACCTTCCTACCCCCTCCCCCCCTCTCCCTGATCACAACCCCCCCCTTCCCCCCCACCTCCGCTCGGGTACTAATCCCTGACTGTTCAGTGCCTTGGAATTTCCTTCCGACATGAAAAGCGCTTCACAAATGTAATTTTATATTGTATTACAATGCTCAGCCACCCACACAAATAGCACCTCTCAACAGCTTGCTCAATAGTAACATTGTTGGGGGCCTATCACACGTTGCACATCATTAACTTGTCCATATAATAGCAACTTGCATTTATACAGCGCCCCTCATGCAGGGTAGGGTCCACAAGTACTGTCTAACTCAATGTGGGAAGGAATTACTGCATCACAACGTCAGCAAAACAAGTGAATTTGAAACCAAAATCTATTGAGTTTCTTCTTGATGGCCATTCTAAAACTGCAGCATAAGATAATACAAATACAACAACAAATTGCATTCATGTAGCACCGTACATGGCGGGAGGATGTGCCAAGTTCTGGATAACACGGAATGCAGGAAATAAAAAGCTACAATCATTTCCATTTTCTCCTCCTACAAGGGCTTCCATTTCAAAAATTCAGAAACAGAATAATTAGCAAATTTACTCAGTTAAATTCACGAGTATTGGACCTACTGATAAATGTTTAGTTTTAACATGTTTGTTCAAGTAGCACTATTTGAGAGGTGCAGGGCATTTTGCCAGTCTTGCAAGACTACCATTTTCTCACACCCAGACTACAGATGTAAGAAACCTGTCAGTTTCAATTCATGGCATATTTGCACAACAACTTATTCTTGCTGTGTAACAATTACACAATGGACTACAAGAGGTAAGTGTCATGACAATTTCACCTCAGACAGAAACCGTGCTACAATATTGAATTACTGTATACACTATGAAATTGGATGTTTTACCTTTTTAAATTTAAAACGATTTCTTCTCACTTTTGAACTCCATTTCAAAGTTTTGCTTTCAATTCGCTGGGTTCCTCGCTTACCACCATTTCCTAACTGATGAAAAACAGACTAAGGTGATTTCCTGTAGTTCAGTTAAAGTGGTGCAGTTTGACTCATTGTCTGTTTTCTCCTCCTTTCAGTTAAAAGGACCAACTCTCGACAGTCAAGATGAGTGACTGTGATCTCAGGCTCCAATTGCACAAAGCCAGTGTTGCTCTGTTTGCTCTGGTATTACATATACAAAGAACCAATGCTGCTCTCAGAATTTCAGAAATAAAACTGCACAACTGCTACTGGAATGCTTTATAAAATTTCAAACAGGTGTGTTTGCACAAGCTGATAAGGTGCCAAGGTACTTCATCTGAATTGCCTTTTAAGGTCATAGTTTTATGACCATGAAATTGATTCTGTCCTACAGCGAAAATGCTCATGTTGTTAAGTTTTATATTCAAATAATACAAACTTACCAAAAAAAATTGTAATCAATAAACGGGAAATCACAGAGAAAAGTAGGGAAGATAACCTCAGAATTGTGGAATTATAAAAGAAAATATCTAGAATGACAAGATACTGTACTACTAAGGTACAACAGACTGGCAACGGAAAAATAGATTGAATCTATCAAGATTATCCTGTTAAACTGAACAATTTTCTATTTTTTTGAGGCCTTCAAACTTTTGGATGATATATTAACAATAAAATAGAACTGGTTTAATAAACAACAAAGGTTTAATGCTTCACAAAAGAATTAAACCACGTAGTGAAAGGTCTACAACATGAAATATTGTTAAACAGCTGAAGCCTGTATGTCCCAAATAAATTTAAATAAACATTTAAATAAACTCAGAGCATATCTCCAGTATAAAATAAATAATGCAACAGGTTTCAAAGTAGTTTCCTGAAAAGATGTGAACCATTTTGTTCAAATTAAATACAAGTTAATATGTAATATTTGAAAGGTAATATTTTGAAGGACATTTGAGAAACATTTTGGGTAACTAAAAACTACATACAATCCTTAAAAGGTTTTATTTTTGGTTAGCCACATGTGGAAACCCATCACCATGCTTAAGACCACATATGTATGCTAACTATACTTGGAAGTTTCCATGAGCCTGGAATGGACAAGACATTACAGTCCAATTCTAAAACAAGAGGCCATTTTCTCCTCTACACAATCTTTCTCTTGCGTCTGACTAGGCACGACTACAAACAACCTAACACTGACTGATGCGCTTCTGTACTCAATGGTTATGAATATTAATGAAGGGAGCACTGCAACTAACATTTTTTGCTCTTCATTTGGAATATCTGCAAGAAATTGTCAAATATAAAATCTCGTCTATACAATGAACCCAAATGCAAATCTTGACAGTAATAGAAATTTTACTGCAAACTAAAATGCCAAGACCAAATGCCAAGACCATGATGCACGATACAAACTTGCTGTGCCAACTTAAGTACATTATAATTCCTCTCCAGGCGGGTCCGCCGTACTCTAGGCCATTGCTAATGACAGATAGGTCAGCCTGGTTCATCGGCAGGACTTGTAAGGGCAGACCAGTCATGGGAGAGAGAAGGCAGGGATTCTTTCTATTCAGCAACTGTTAACCATGCATGCCGAAGCATAACAGGTAGAGTGGTAGAGTACAGGTAGAGTACAGGTAGAGTACAGTATGTAAAACACATAACAAGTGTTTTACTTGTTGCCTGACAAGCAACAAAAAGCTCAACAGACAGCACTTTCAATAGCAAGTCCTACAATTTAGCTAGTTAAATTCCAGCAGTACCTCAATGTGCACTTTGGGATCCCCAAGCATTGTTTCTTGCCAACCGAATATTCACCAGAATTAGGTAAGCAGGATGTGTCCTTTTGGGAAAAGAATCCACGTTCTATTCCAGACACGGGAATTGCATTCTGAGACTTTATGCTATGTAAAGGGCACTATGCAAATGTAAGTTGTTCTTACGTAGTAGGTTGTATCCAGGAAACTCTGTCTGATTTATATACTCTGAAGCACAGTGTTTGGGGTTCTAGGTATCAAAGGACCGGTCTGACCAAAATAAAATTGAGATATTCAATGTTGTGAGCGCTATATCAAATACAGGACAGGCTGCCATGGTCACCGACGAAACACAAAAACACTCCACTTTACAGTATATCCTGTGAAATGCTTTGAAATGTTCTCTCAACAAAAAAGGCACTATACCAAAAGCAAGGATTATTATTGCTTTCTTATACAGGATGACCAAAAAGTCATGATAACTATCCTATTATCTAAAAGCAAACAAAAATATCATCACTCCTTAAAAGATTTATTAGCATTGTAATAGTATCATGACTTTTTCATCACCATGTATTTTATGGTTTCTTGTACTAAGTTTGTGCCAGAAGTCTAATAAATTTTTTTTAATAATAGCATTTGATATAGCACAATATTATGTAGCCAAAAATCTAGAAGCGCTTCACAGGGTATACAGTACTGCAAAGTGGTGTCACTGTGTATTTTGTATGCGTGTGTGGGGGGGGGGGGGGGGGGGGGAGTGGAGGGAGAAAGGGTGTTGTTCTCACACTATTTAATTATACATCGGATTTGTCAGTCTGTAAATGTAATATTCTGCCCGAGTTACCGTAAATACTTGACTCACATGCTCAAGGCTTTAAATCTTGAAACCGAAATTATGAGTCTTCAGTAGGAAACTGTTTTACTTGTGGATGTCGAGATGACCAGTGAATAACATTAAAACACCCCACCAAATGCACAGGAAAAGCACAAATAGATTGTGCAAAAACCACACAGCCAAGTACAAAAATGCATTTGAAACATTTGTTGAATTTCCTCCTAACATGAAAGGTGCTGTACTAATGTAATTTGCTGTTGTTGTAGCCAGTGTCCATTATGATTCACATTTTATACATTAATCATTCAACGAATAAATACCAACTAAAACCTATTTTTTGTTCCTTAACCTTTCTTTCCTTTGTTGTTTTACTTTTTCATGTAATTTTATACTTGGCTTAAGCCTTTCTTTTTCTCTCTTAATCTAGTTTTTCACACAAGAGCTTCTTTTACAAATTGATATAATTGGGTATCAAGGGTAAGACTTATGGACATGGATTAGTAATAGGTTGGGGAGGTGAGGGGGCGGGGGGGAGAAAGATTGTGAAAACAAAGACATCCGTGATCATATAAAGAAACAACAACGTCCTGGGCTGATTAATGGTAAATACAAATACCCCTCACATTTGATATAGCACCTATATTATCAAGAATGAATCAAACACTGCACAATATTGATGGTACTCCATATATCATAGAATTATACAGGATAGAAGGAGGCCATTCAGCCCATTGTGCCTTTGAAAAGAGCTACCCAAATCAATCCCATTCTCCCGCTATCTCCCCATACACCTGTAAACTTAAACTCCCCAAATAATTATCTACTTCTCTCTTAAAAGTTGTTATCGAATCGGCTTCTACCACCCTTCCAATTCCAGATCCAAACAACTCGCAGTGTGAAAAAAGTTCTCCTCACCTCCCCTGTTTTTTTTATCAACTATTTTAAACCTCGGGTTACCGACCCACCCACCAGTGGAAATAGTTTCTCCCTGTTCACCCTATCGAATCCCCTCATAATTTTGAAAAATTCTATTATGTCTCCTCTTAACCTTCTCTGCTCCAAGGAAAATAATCCTTGCCTCTCCTGACGGTGAATTTTATATAAATAGTAAAATTAGGAAACATATAACATCCATGGATAGATCAGAACTTGGCAAAAGAAAGTTGAAAGTGACTAGCCAAAGGAAGGTTGATACAACTCTCCGTGTCAAAACAGTGTGAAGCAGCAGAAACAAAAGATGCTGGACTATTTTAAGTTGAATTCAGATGCAGAGGTTATGTTCACGATCTGCTTAATCTACACATGGAGACCAGTCCACAGTTCTTTGTGCACAAAAACAATGGGGTGGAGAGAGGGCTTTTCAGGACTGAGATGCAATGCAGAAGAAGCTGGTTCAGAGTGTTCTGAGGACATGCAAAGAAGCTTTGAGAATGCAAGAAATCATGGCATTTATTACAATTATGTTCAACGGGTTCCACAAAATCTAAGTAAATAGCTCGTCTGTAACTGCAAGAGTTTGCTTACATTATAAATCCAGCCTCTTTAGAGGACCTTAAAGTTCAAAAAAAACCTATTATGCAGCCCAAAGTACTATAAACATGACATTAAAGACTTTGTATAAGTACTACATGTGCTGCACTTGAAAATTGTATTATAAAGACGACAGCCAGTTCAATTCTCAGTTCAATTTATTCAAAATAAAGATGTGTTCCAAAGAAATTCTTATTCTTTCAGAAGTTCTGAATCTGTTCATACAGGTTTAGGTCATTTTCAATTATTCTAGATTTAGGACAGTTTCAGGTCTTCGGGAATTGTTGCAATACTGGCTACGAAACAGTCTAGCTTCATGGGAACACCAAATATTGCACAAAAACACATCCACAAAATCTCATAAAATAACACATGCAACCACTTAATAACAGAGAACTAAACAGGAATCTGAAAAGTTACAAACTTAAGTAACAGCAACTCTGCAAATCAAGGGCATCTTTAAAGCAACTCAACTAAGTGTTAATGCACAACTGACGATAAAAAAGCCTGGATGAAACCACCTTCAACATTACCTGCACAGATTGATTTTCCTCCCATATGCAAATCACAACCAGACAATACAATACTAGATATTGAAATCTAGTTTCTCCCACAATGGCTCTCCAGAAAGGCAATATTTGATATGCAAAAAGCAGAGCAATGTGGATTGGTTTATAATTTTAGTACTTGCATTGGAATGTTGAGACCAAAATATCTGCAATAAATCTGCAGCTGAAACATCACAATGAAAAAAGTTCACAGTTTCGTAAGGAAATTAAATTTCCGGAATACGTAATGCAACTGAGCACAACAAAAACAAACCAGTTTCCATGCAGTGTAGTTCTATCACATTAAAATTGAAATCATGGTAGGAGTCCTCGCGACTTGAAAGGTCACATGACCTTTCCATTCAAGTGCTGTTAAGTTACTAACACTTCACAGCTGCAAAATGTACTCATTGCCAATTTATCCATGTTCTTCCAAAGAAATCTGCCTTTATAAAGGATTGCAAGACAGATCCTTTGAGATTTTTGACTTTCAACAAAAAACTGCAATACTTCTATGGTCTTCAAAGACTTACACAGTAGATACTTACCACCCTTTTTTCATTTTCTCCATCTGTTATAACAGCCTCCATATTTCAGAGTTACTTCACATTGACAGCGTTTCCCCAGTCTGTGAACCTGCACATCTAACAAAAGAATAAATATGGTCATGAATAGAAAACCAATGCCTACAGATAATAAACTGTCACAAATATACTTATACCAATATACTTCACAATAAATTCTGTGAAGCAGGTTAGGACATCTTCCAAACGTCAAAAACGCTATACAAAACGAAAGGACTTTTAATTTAAATTGGATACAATCTTTTTACATATACTGTATAGTAATTATTATTTTTATGTTCCTATTATGTTTTTAAAACCATCAAATAATTAAATTGCAGTAGAATTTAGGGACATTTATTTGTGGATTGGCAAAAATCAGTAAAAAGCAGTCAGCAAAGCAGTACCAACTGGATTTTGCAGGATGTGTCAAGTAATGATTCACAATTGCAATTCTCAGAATAGAAATGGAAAATGTCCTGACGGTCATAAGTAATCAAACAAAGACAAAATAATCATTAACATTTTCAACTGGTCACTCATATAAACCTCTTCAATTAGTATTTCCAGAAAGCAGATAGCAAAACAACTCAGCACACTCTCAGGCCAATATTTTTATATGTACAACAACATCAACAAAATTACATTTGTAGGTTGAAATATTATTGCATACTGCAGCCAATTGTTAGCATGAAGGTGCTAGAACAGACACCATCAACTATGAGATTATCATTATAGCAAACAGAAATCAATTATACTACAAGCTTTTTTTTTGCAAATACTAAAAAAAAAATATTCCACAATAATTTAAACAAGCAAACAACAACAACACGATTATATTTGTACAGAGGTTTTCATGTTGGGAGGACATCCCAAGGCGCTGGACAGCGTTCAGCATTTCAGACCCAAGCTGGGGTCGGTGGTGGTGGTGGCGAGGGGAGGTGGCCGATGGCATGGTCGAAGAAGAGGGTCTTGAGGCGGGACTTGAAGGAGGCTAAGGAGGGGACGAGGCGATGAAATTCCAGAGGTTGGGGGCAGAGTGGCTGAAGGCTCTCCCAATGGTGGGGCGGGGGATGTCGAGCAGGCCGGAGCCGGCTGAGCGGAGGGATTAGGTTGGTGGGGGGTTAGGAGGTCGCAGAGGTGGGGTGGGGCAAGGCCATGGAGGGCTTTGTAGGTGAGGACCAGGATCTTGAACTTGAAACAGTGTGACATGTGGGTGTATCTGGTTTGGAGGTCACAGGAGAAATATGTATCATAGGTTTACTAAAGATAAGATGGAGAAACGCAACAAAAAGTGCTGAGAATGTAGAACTCTGCCACAAGGCAAAAGGATAAATATTCTTAATAAGAAACATGATGCATATACAAAGAAGGGAACTGAGATACGGGAGAGAGAATTAGATGGGTGGGGCTCATGTGGAGTATAAACACCATTAGAGACTAGTTGGGCCTGTGCCCAAGTCGTCTTACACTGCATACCCAACGTGACCAAAGATCCAAAGGGTTATTCAACACTATAGTGGTTTGCATCCTTTTTAGTTAAACAAACTAGGCAGCGCACCAAGAAGGAAAAAAATGCGTGAGTTCCACGACAACATGTGGATTCTTTAAGAGCTTTCCTATAAAGCACAAGATTAATGTGTCAATTAATTGTCAAACTTGTTTTCTCTCTAGGAGGAAGTGGCCCGAGACCAATCTAGTTTTGACCTCAGTTCAAGTCAAAAGTTACTTTTATTGGCCAAGAATTGTAAACTCACTCACAATGTGAATAGTATGGTCAGGTCAACATTGTGATGAAATTAAGTGACAACATTTCCACTAAAAATGCAGATTATCAGGGTTTTTTCTTCCATGGAAATCTAAATTCCAGTACATTTGATTCTGAAAAACAAAACAAATGGGCACAAACCAGGATACAGTAATTGGCTCAGATTTACTACAGCTAATCTCTTAAAATTGTCATCTTACATGCCAAAAAAGGCCTCAAAGTAACTTTTCCGTAAAAAGTCTGAAAACATGAAGATAATTCTTTGCAAATCAGGTCACGTACCTTCTTAATGGCTATTGCAGTATTTTAATTAGTAAGGGATGGTATGAATAGAAAGATGGAATACTAATTTGTTTACGTAAACACATTGGTGGAACACATAGAAAATCTCATGCATAATGATCATACCATTTGCATATTTAATTGCAGTACATTTTATTGGAGGCTTGGGAAGAGAAACATAACCCTGACCGATGCTTTTATCAATGCATGAATGGTAGCAAACTGTAATTTAAAACACAAGCCCAGAATAAATGATTTCTGATTGAGTGAATACAACACCCCTACATTTCCAGGATCTCATATGGACGAATCCTATGTGGAAGTAGTTTAGAATTTCCATATGATGTTCCAGTGAGTGAGAGCCTACAGCACAACATTTAGAGATAGTGAGGGAAAATGAAAATGTTATATCAAAAGAGTCGGGAAAGCTATTCTCAACCTGGGACACAGTAGAGAAACCTTTACGCCATGTTTATATTGCAATGCTGCCTCTAACAGCCCAGCTTCAATTTAATGTAATGATAGGTACCATTAACTCCTCCTCCAAATAGAATAGTACCAGTGCATGAAACAGCAAAATAATTTAAGCTTCCACCGCTTGCAGATACGCTGGCTGCTTTCCTATTCCATGGACAGATGAACTGTCGGGACACTACTAACAAGCCACAAATGTGGTTTGAAACTCACTCCAGTGAGACCAGTGGAAGGAGGAAAGGCAGGGAGGAAACAATACTACAATAACTACCCTCAGAAGATGTATTAAAGCTAATTTATAATGTTCCACTTCATAATCTTAGAAAGGAGGTACATAAACAGCACTTTGGTACACTTTTAAAGTAAACAATTTATAACTTGTTGATCTTCAATTATCTTTTCCGTCTCCATTTGTTGGACTAAAAGCATCAGAACATTTTTTCAATTATTAGGAATTTTGCAAGGAAATGTTCCCAGCAATAAAAACCTCTACTAGTCTGAAAACAGGAGGCGGCATTGACTCATTTTGCAAAATGCTATGTACTCTATGACCTGAAAATCAAGATGAAAGAGAGAGGGCCCTTTCCCCTACTGACTTGGCCAACTGCTGTATTTTTCCAATTACAACAAACAACAAATTGCATTTATATAGCATCTTGCAAATTGGGAGGATATCCTGAGGAGCTGGATTAATGCATTCACGTCATGCCCATTCGTGGGATTTGGTGCAAATGGACCTTCTCTTTACCTGCAAAATACAGTCACTGCACTTTGCAGCATATTCTGTGAAGTACTTTGAGACAACCTCTCGACGTGAAAGAGGCTATGTCAAACATAAGGATTATTATTAAACGGCTGGTCCGTTTGCCTACAAAAGCATTCTCAATACTTGACAGTGCTATAAGATTCTATAAAAACACTTTCCTATCAAACATTTTTCCTTTTCTGTTCTATTTTCCTCTGATTTTCTTTGTCTTGCTTGTACTTCATAATTTTAGTTCCTCACCTATGCTCTTTAGCTTTGTTAAACTCGCTGTAAGAGCCAAGAAAAGTATGAGAGATTTCATGTCCACTAAACAGCACATATATAACAATATCTAATATGCACTTTTTTATATATACCCTCCAAAAGAAAACATTTCATATGCCATGTAGCTTATCCTTTTTGGGCACACACAGCACAGAAACCTGCTCATTGTAAGACATTTCGATAATTGTAACTATCATATAAGATGCCTAATAAGCTTACACAGTTTAACACCAAGGAACAACATGACTCAAAAGTAACATCCTCGTCTATGCTTAATTTGCTGCCAAAGCAGAGATGGTGTTGCCAATGTTTCTGGGCTACTAGAGGGGAAATCAGCATGACTTCACATCCGCGATCTTGATGCAGTAACCTCTGCCAGACAGTGCACATGCAATGACATCATGTGACAAGATCAAGCTCTCCTGCGATGCCCTTCATGGTTGTCTGCAGACAATCACTATCCAGGCTTACATATGAAGAATGGTCACTTGAACAAGCTACAAGATAAAACCCGTGGAACAAGGTGCAAGCCTGAGGAACTGTACCGCATCAAAGTCAGCATTTGCAAGGAGGGAAAGTGGGGGAGAACATAAGCAAAGAAAATGTACAAGAAAAACGCTTGACCATAAATTTTTATTAATTCCAGTCAGCTATATGAGATAGGCCAGTACAGGCTTCGCCCTTATTTACCATTCAAAGTTTGTTGTGTAGAAGATGCAAAGAAGCATGAAGATATAGAAACTATTTGCAACTAAAACAATCCGTAAGATCTAAAGTGTATTGTTTCACGAGGCATTTGGATCCAACTAAAATACACATGAAAATAAAACATCAACACTTCAAACGAAGTTGCTTATCAGATTAATTTTCATGCACTTACAGTATAAATCAAGATTGTCAACATTCCATAACCTTAAAATTAAGGTGAGAGACCACCAACTCTTATCATTGCCTATAATGCTCAAATAAAATAATGTGCGAGATTTACAGCAGCAGTCTGCAACTAAACTCCAAGTATAAAAGGTACAAACCTTTACAATGAATTGTCATGTTAATAAATATTCCTTTACATCATGACTGAAATACTTTTTGGTATCTAATATTTTGTAATACTTTTCTGTTCACAAGCCTGACATCTGCTTCTTGTCTGAATGAACATCACTGCAGAATAACAATCACATAAGGTACAAGACCATGCACAATTGTCAGAGGGGGTGGCTGAATTTCTTGCCATTGGCACATAGAATTGTATGTAATTTGAATAAAATGCTTATAAATTAGAACATGAAATAAACACAATGTGAAAAACTCTGTTCAGATCCCTGACAGCAGCTCTCACACGGCAAACCTATATTGGACTGCTGAACAAAACTAAAGTTAATAATTGTTTTCAAACAGGTTAACATCCCAAAATGTTTTCATACAAACCAAAAATATTTAGACATAATCGAGTGTGTGGTAATAATCACCTCAAAGTTGAGAATTTAACTAGTGTGCCACTAAAACCAGTTCAAAGTTTTATTCTGT